GGGTAGAACATTGGCTTAACCATAGAGTACAGAGAATTGTCATTAATGTTAAATGGCAAGTGGTGTCCTTAAGGGTTCTGTTCTGGGACCGCTTCTATTTAACATGTTTATAAATGATCTTGAAATAGGCATTGAAAGTCATGTTTCAGTGTTTGCAGATGACACAACACTCTGTAAAGTAATACAATGTGAGCAGGATAAAGCTTTGTCGCAGAGGGATATAGATAGATTGGGGGACTGGGCACTCAAATGGCAGATTAAATTTAATAAAGAAAAATCCAAAGTTATGCACTTCAGGGTAAAGAATGCACAAGCAACTTACACCCTAAATGGTAGTGAATTAGGGATAACAACACACGAGAATTATTTGGGAATTGTTATAGAAAACAAACTAGACAACAATGTGCAATGTCAGTTGACAGTTGCTAAGGCCAGTAAGATATTTTCATGAATAAATAGGATGAAAATTCAATTTTTGCCTCTTTAACCCCTTAGTGACCAGACTGCTTTTCGATTTTCTTACCGTTTTCAACCCGGGCTGTTTTTAAATTTCTGCGGTGTTTGTGTTTAGCTGTGATTTTCCTCTTACTCATTTACTGTACCCACACATAATATATACCGTTTTTCTCTCCATTAAATGGTATTTCTAAAGATACCAGTATTTTCTTCATATCCTATAATTTACGATTAAAAAAATTATAAAATATGATGAAAAAATTTAAAAATAACCCCACTTTTTCGAACTTTGACCCCCCAAATCTGTCACGCATCTACAACCGCCAAAAAACGCCCTTGCTAAATAGTTTCTAAATGTTGTCTTGAGTTTAGAAATAGCCAAATGTTAAGATGTTCTTAGCTTTTGTTGGAAAGCTATAGGGCTATAAGTACAAGTAGCACTTTGCTATTTCCAAATCATTTTATTTTTTTCAAAATGATTTTTCATTGTAACACTGATATCTGTCAGGAATCCCTGAATAACCCTTCACATGTATATATTTTTTTAAAAGAAGACAACCTAAGGTATTAAACTTGGGGGTTTTGTCTCTTTTAGATGCAACCATTTTACCGCCAATCTATGCCAAATTTAAAAAAAAATAATAATTGGTGGTTTTTTTGACACACAGCAATTTAAGAATACATGTACTGAGAACTTTAAGGGTTACTGCCAAAGAACACCCCAATATGTGTTCAGCAACATGTCCTGAGTACAGTGATACCTCAAATGTATAGGTGTGCTGGGTTCTCTTGGGGCTAAAAGACCTTATTTGAAGGGTGCACATTCCAGTTTTCCAACTTGGAATTTTCACAGCTGGTGCACCCATGTCCTATTTGGGACATTTTCAAAGCTGGCCAATGTAATTTACCCCCATCAAAATATATATTTTTGAAAAGTAGAAAATACAGGGTATTCAATATGGGGTATTTCCAGTCTATTTTAGTAGCCACTTAGTCACAATCACTGGCCAAAGTTAGCATTTATATTTGTTTGGGTGTTAAAAATGCTAAAAAAAATTATGAACACTAACTTGGAGTATATTTAGTAAAAACAAGGAAAAAATGGAGACCTCATAGTGAAGTATGTCACAGTTCCAATAAATAGTAAAATATAAATAAACCCACTCACACCAATATGGTGGAGTCATCACTCTTATTTGTTATATTTGGATTTGATATAGTGTACCATATATCTTTTATATACTACCACTGTAAGAATCAACCACAAGAACTTATACTCCACCATATCCGTAGGCGGGGATTATTCGATCCAGGCGCACAAGTTGAAGTTATATTTTATCTCCTAAAAGGTGTGAGTGTGCTTATTTTTATTTTACTATTTATTGAAACTGTGGCATACTTCACAATTAGCTCTCCATTTTTTCCTTGTTTTTACTACATACACACCAGTCAGGGGGAGCGTTCATGGATTGTTTCCCAACTCGAACAAGGACCTCCCCAGTGCCCCATTAGAACGTTCACACCAATTAATCAGAATGTTCGCACTTGCAACGTAAGTATGAAACCGCAAAGGAAGTAATTAATGAATGCTCCCCTGGGTGGCCACTATTTTGTACAGACAAATGTCATCCAGGGGGAGCATTTGTGTCCCGATAAGAGACGCTTCCCTTGCAGGGTTTCACATAGAGACCTCGCAAGCGGAGTCTGGTTCAGGAAGGTACTGCTGCGAGGGTCCCTAAGGTGTGGGCAATTCTGGGGCACTGTCGAGTTTGGCGGGTTTTGCAGTGTCCGCTGGGACTATATTCCCGCAGGTGGGCTCTGCTTGGGAGACAAAGGGATGGCCCCTTTTTCCCATGCTTGGTCTCCCAGGTACAGAGGCTCCTGGGATGAAGACCCCTCCTTGTCCCTGGATGTGGGAAACCCTGTGTTTGGGTGGCGGGCTTTTGGAGAGAAAGGGAAAAGGCCCTTTCCCACGTTAAATTCTCGGGGAGGGTAAGGATCCTGGGAGGGGACATTGTATGCAGTGTGTTACATCCCTTGCATGGGGTTATGCTTAAAAGCCATGTGTGGCAAATACACCCTGTTCCAAATTATTATGCAAATTCTATTTAAGTGTCACAAAGATTAAATATTTTGTTTTTCAGTTTAACTCATGGATGGCATTGTGTCTCAGGGCTCTTTTTGGGTCTCTTTGTATTCTAACTGGTACATGTTCAGCTGAAGGAAGGGAATTATCGGAGGTAACTGGTCGGGTTACCCATGTCCCGCTACAATATTGTAACCCAGTCTTCAATTTACTATAGTTCTGTATTTAGTAAATAAAAAGAATGTACACACATAGGGAATAACTTACTAAGTGGAGATAAAAAAAAAAAAAAAAAAAAGCTTAAAACAAGGTTACATCAAAATCCAATCAGCTAGGTGGCATATCTGAACTGGGTCAGAATGAACATTTAGCCCCCAGCCATGGAAAGACCAATTCAATGGAAACCATAGAAACTGTCAGAAATAATACATAGTATACAGGCTATAGGAGATAATATAATCTTATGAAACACAGCTACTGTTAACACAACTGAATAGAAGATGCTCTTTCTATTACCACGTTACCAAAAAAATCATTTATATTTTTTTCAATATTGTTGAAATAAATATTCTCTCTTTAAGTAAAACTCAAGTGAGAACACTGCTTTAAATTTGCGTGATTATTGTTATAGTTTTTGCATAATAATATTATTCTCCTCTCATTTTGTAACACAGATTTTTATTTGTTTTAATGGTCTGTTTTTTTTGTTTTTGTTTTTTTAATTCTTTATTTTGGTTGTGCATATATGATAGAATACAGGCAAGCTTATAATATGTCACATTAGCATAGGCAAGCTTCCATAAACACAAACAATGCATTATTTGACATATGAGGAACATGCACATTTTTTAAATTATGTGGTCAAACAAGCTTCAACATTCTGTGTGAACAGGTAGGTAACAGATGAGACTTGCACATTCTTAGGATACGAGTATAAAGGAAGTGATCATGTCACTATGCATAGTGTAAGATATAAAACCTGTTTAAGGGCAGGTCGCACAAGCAATAACAAGATTGGTATAAACAGTTTTGTGGCCTTGGAGCTAAGTTACATGTCACGGTTCCACCAATAGCATATAATACAGGTTACCCTAATTACTTTATTATTGTGTGTCTCTGTGCATAGGGTGGAGACCAACGTTTAGGGACAATCCACGGGCTACGCTCTCCATAATGGTTTAGAGTTGTTCCCTCCTCTGCACTGATACAACAACATTGCACTTTAGATGGAGTCAGCTTTCCATTTAAATACTCATAGATTCACCTACTGTGTGGATGTATTCGTTATCACAGGCAGGCAAATTAAATTCTAAATGTCAGGACCTGATATATGTATCTGACAGAATATTAACCTTTTGCGAACTGCAGCAAACGAACATTGTGACATTGACATTTTATGAGCCAGGGAGTGTAAATGGTTAATAATAATAATAATAAAAAAAAAAAAGCCAGGCCAGCATTTTTATATACTGGGATGAGTCTGCGGATACAGGCGCCCGATTAGCGCAACAATTGCTAGTACCTCGGTTTCCCTGGGCACTAATGACATGTAATTACTCACAGTCCTCTGGTGCTTTCCACTAAGGATATGCATACATGCTGAAAAACTTAAAATGCTGTTCCCGGTTAAGTGTGATGTGGAGAAGGGGAGTATTCCTGTCGGACAAGGTTGTGTGAGTTCCTGTCGGTATCTCAGGTGCCTTGCTGGTGCTGCTCCTTCCTCCCAGTGCTATTGGAGGTCGAGATGAGGGGACCTGGCCCATTCTGGGGGTCCCACACGGTTGGAACGATACAATCTTCCCAGTTATGTGGTGCTCTCCGCCCTGGAGCCTGCGCCTCTTTTTCCAGCTGATGTGGTATTCCCAAGGCCTGGAGCGCTGCATCCGATTCCGCGGCGGTGGTAAGCCGTAAGTTCTTCCCTCCTCGAGGTATAATTAGGCTCCTAGGAGATCCCCAGCGGTATGGGATGGAGTGGTTATGAAGAGTCATGGTCAGAGGTTTGAACTGGCTTCTCCATAGTAGCGTTGGTCTGGACAGGTCTTGGAAGAACATGAGGTGAGCATTTTCGAAGGGGCAGGTAAGTTTTCCCCTCACTGCTGTCATTACTAGTATTTGCGCCGATCTCGTCTGGAACTGAACAATAACGTTCCTTGATGAGTCTGCTGGGGCCTTAGTTGCTTTTGGTATGCGGAATATCCCGTCTACCATGACTTGCTTGTTCTGCTTGGGGTTCAGTATAGTGCTCAGCAGCCTCCTGGTGTAGTGGGGTAACTCTTCCGTAGTGATTGACTCAGGAATGCCCCTGATTTTAATATTTCTGCTTCTGTGCCTGTCCTCCATGGTGTCCATTCTAGTGATGTAAGTTGTGCTTGGGCTTTTTAGAGCTCTGCTGTAAGTGCCTCCATAGCAAGGGATCTGGAAGAGAGGCCCTGCGTGTCTGCCTCTACTGCTTTCACACGTCCCTCCACTGTATGTATTTCTTCGCACACAATCGCAATGTCTGCCGCAAATAGCTGTCGGATATTGCGGAGAAGTGTTTTGATGTCGCCCTTAGTAGACGGCAGCTCGTTGTCCATAATCCGTTCTTCGGAGGAGGCTGAGAGTGAGTCGCCATTTTCTTTTGGCGCGAAGGTGCCATTGGCCCTGGACGGCCGGAGCAGGAGATCTCTAATATCCTGGGATCCTGCTAGTTTGACAGGTCCCTGGCGTCTGGACTTCTTCCCCATGCTGTTGGTGTTTCTTTGTTGTGAAAAAGAGCCTTTTTTAGGTGCTTTTAGAGGCTTGTTGTTGCGGAGCTCTCTTGTAACGCGTCTGCTCTGGTCTGCTGTTGACTCCGCCCGCTCCTTAATGTTCTGTTTTAAAGATACAGGGTTATTTACTAAAGTGAGAATGAAAATGAATTTCAAATGTAAGGCCTGAGTAGTCGAACTAAAAGCATACCTGACTTAGATAATTTTTACAGTTTGGCCATTTTAGCCTGACATTTGAAATTCACTTTGAACTCTCCCTTTAGTGAATAACCCTGATGATTATGAAATGTCAGCCATTAAAATTGCTATTAAAATTGATCGAATGGTCAATACCTTTTCAGAAAGAGATATTATCCTAACATTTACACAAAAATATTTTGGAAGCAGAGCACATTGGAATTAAAGGGAATTTTTTTTTATTTTTTTTTAAATGAATAATACAACATGATGTGATTTTATTATTATTCACATAATACCATGATATACCAGAATACTTTACAAAGTGTGGCTAATTCACCCATGTAATAGCAACATGACAATTTAGGCAAAGAGGAACATACACTAGTGAGGATCCTGCTATAGAGAGAGTTAGTTGTATTGTTCAATTATAATGTATAGTTTTTCAATGGACGGACAACAGGCGGCAGCTGTGAAACAAGAGAAGCCAAACTGTAACCACAGAACTGGTGATTCAGGATCTGATATGGACCAATAGAACACAGCAGAAACAGGATGCCCACTGGACCACCAATGGACTTTGGGGACTAGCCCTATTAAAAGGGACTCTTGGGTGGGAGGTATTAGGCTGTTTTTTAGGCATTAGCATTGGTATTGCTTTAACTTCTTGGTCCCTGAGAAAGTCCCATTATTGGGACGAAATGCGTAGGACCTATCGTTATATTTTATTCAATTTATTGCCAAAATAAAACTGCCTAGTTACCTACCACTCGGAGTCCTGTTGGTTCCTGTTTGACAGTGGTGACTACAGATCCTGGAAGGAGATTATAGCCCCCCACTTTCATTGATTTTAACTCCTGTGAGTGCAATTTATCACAGTGTGTGTATTTAGACCTAACTGCATTACACTGTATGTTCTGTTTATTTGTTTTCTTCTAGCTTATTTCAGTTGTAGCCCTATTTCTGTATATACCTTGATAATGTATAGTGTGTATGAATGTATTAAAATGTCACAGTAATATGCAGTGTGTGAGTGTTTTATAAACTCCATGACACTGTAATGTGCCGTGTATTACAGAGCTATAAATAATGTTGTTTTCATGCTGAAATGCCACAATAGAAGTACAGTGCATCCCTCCCAAGCTCAAGTTCTGGAGTTACCCTTCTAATGAGCTCTTGTGAATCTTAACATTTTGTGTACTAGATTTATTCAGCCATGTCTAAACTGTTGACTGTTGACACCATTGCCGTAATTTATATCATGCCATTATAGGATATTCTACTAAGGTACTTCTGCTTGACAGCATCAGACTGCAATATCGGTGTCAACCATCAAACATGATTTTTGTTATTTGTTATTATTTTTTATATATATTTATATATGTGTGTGTTGAACAATATTGTTTGATATTGTGAGTGTAAAATCAGCCGGATGTCTGAAAAGGCCCATCTTTACGTTGTCAATATATTGTTGCTACTTAGATCGTAGGAGCACTTCTTTTCATATATCTGTGAATGCAACTATATTTTTCATTTTAAAAGTGAAAGGAGTGGGATTATCTTATCTTGATCCATCACTTAAGTATATGTTTTTGCTCCTCTGTTCCAGTAAATGTATTCTTAATAGATATATTTACTGCAGATATCTGTCACTTTGTCCTCCTAAATATATACATTACACAGTACATTATAGTGTTCACTTATATCCTTTTAATGCATCACTGAACAAATACAAAATAATCTGTCATAGCCAATTTACAATTTTCCCGGGATAATCTATATGAATCATTCTACACATTTTTTTTATTTTTTTTGTCCAGTGTAATAATTAAATACTTGTGTGGAGGTGTTAAGCAAGCTGTGAAATATATATTTAGATTGCGTTGCCAGCTTATACATAGCTCTCATGATAGATCAGATTTATGCTTCTCAGTGTTAAATTTTGCCTTCGGTCAATGTGTTGGCAGTGTCAGAGAGCCAAGAGTCTCAGTCAGGAGAGTGTTACATACTGGTCATCGTTGACAGAGCAGTCTATCAGGCCTCCAAAGTTAAAATGTGTCACTTAGGCGTACGCTTGGCTGGAGCCTGTATGGCATAATGTACTGTCAACAAGCAATCGAATAAGTGATAAGATTAATGATGATGCTCAGATGTACTTGGATAAAATCAATATACAGGCCTCTTTTTTAACTCATTTGTAACCATCAACTATGAACCCTGATTTGTTTTTCAGATATTTCAAATACAGAGGTGTATTGGTTACCCCTGAGTAATGCTCTGTTGTTTGATTGTTCCTTGAACTCAATATTAAATTCAGGCTAAATGTGTGGTCTCTTGGTTGTGACCATACTGAATGGTAAAAGTATCATGATTCCATGTTTTGCAGCCATCATTTGAGGACTGTTCCATAGGGAAATTTTTGGCTGCTTTGGGGTATAGTGTTTTATAGAGACCTGTTTAATACCACTCTCAGAATACCATTGGTTATCGCTTAGAACTGTTTAAATCAATTATGTTACTTGACGAAGCTCATCATACATGATTATAAATTACTTAATGGTGAAATTAAATTGTGATTTAATGATATACCATACATAGTCTTTTATATTCATTCATAATTTTATTGCTTGTAAATATCTAATAAGATCAAATAATTAAATTTGTAATTTGCAATTTGCTGGCAACTCCTCCACTTCAATACCTTTGTTAATAGGACTACCTTAAGGCTGTGTCTTAGGTAAGCTCATCAACAACTACTTCTCCAAATATCACCTTTACGCTAATGACACTTGTAGCGGACCCCGGGTAACCCAACCGGTTACCTTCACTAATACCTTTCTTCAGCTGCTCAGGAACCCTTACAACAAGCAGACATCCATTTCCCCCCAGTAACTGGATGACACACAGCTCTGGCAGTACAACTAACTCTTTATTCAGGGCCACATATGGCCTTTTATGCAAAAGCCCCGTGCAAGGGGTTTCCAACACAACATTACAGGGTCATCCCTCTCATGATCCTCTGTGCCTGAGAGAGAATTCAGTCCCCTCTCAGGTACAGAGAAATACTTGGGGTCTCCAACACAACACAACAGGAAGGAAGGGGAGGGGAAAGAGAGGGGGGAGAGGGACAGATAAGCAATACATTCAGAAAAGGAAGTGGGAGGGAGAGAGGCACAGACAAGCAATACATTGTTAAATAGTCCTGACCTGAAAACCATAAACAGACAAACATGTGGGCATGGTACGCAGTGATGGCGTTCCATCACAACACCCAAATCTACCTCTCTGCCCCTGATCTTCTCCCTCTGCACTTTCTCATGTCAGCAACTGCTTTTCTGGCATTTCTTCCAGGAAGGCCTCTCAACAGCTAAAGATCAATATGTCCAAGACTGAGCTCCTTAAAGGTAGCCGGGCTTAATGTAGTACAGAGAGAAAGAATAGTCAAAGAACAGGCTACGGTCAAGGGAGTACAGAATAATGAAACCATGGGTAAGTGTCAGGATCGTGACAGGGATCCAACTCGCAGAATACAAACAGGAGATAGGTACGTATACCGGACCTTAGAATGGCCGGACTAACGTAAGGAGAAAGAATGGTCAGAGACAAGCCGAGGTCGAGGGAACGAGAGAGTAGGTAAGCGAGAGACAAGCCGAGTCAAAAGGACAAGAGAGGAAAGCAGGGTCAAAAATACAAGCCGAGTCAGGAACCAAAAGACAATAGAGGTAAGAGCACTGAGTGACCAGACTAGCTAGAACCACGACAGGGCAATGAATCATTCCACAAAACCTTCTTTTATACCTTGGCTCTTTAACTGTTGGCTCCGCCCCCAACGAGTCCTGATTCGTTGTTCGGCACTTAGTTGCCGTGATTGACGGGTCGGAACGTGATTGCCGTCATGACGTCGGCTACTGAGCGCCGCGTCATAAAAGGAGGCGGAGCTATCGCGGCCGGCGTGTAAACGGCCGGGAGGAGTGCGAGGATCGGGTGAGTCAGCCCCCCTAGGAGGATGGACGTCTAGGTGTCTAACCTCCTCCGAGGTAGACACCAAAGGTAACCTGACAGTACCCCCCCTCTCAGAAACGCCCACCGGGCGGAAGGAACCGGGGCGAGACGGAAAACAAGCATGAAATGCCCGGAGGAGACGAGGGGCATGCACATTTTCATGGCCCACCCAAGACCTTTCTTCAGGCCCATACCCCTTCCAGTCAACAAGATATTGCAACTTCCCCCGAGAAATACGAGAATCGAGAATGGATTTGATTTCATATTCCTCCTGACCCTCAACCTGGACAGAGAGAGGGGAGGACTCAGCGGAGGAAAATCTGTTACAAACCAAAGGCTTCAACAAAGAAACATGAAAAGAGTTAGGGATGCGCAGGGCAGGCGGAAGGGCAAGACGATACGCAACCGGGTTAATCCGACACAGAACCTTGTAAGGGCCTATGTAACGAGGGGCAAATTTCATGGAAGGAACCTTCAAGCGGATGTTTCTGGTACTCAACCACACCTTATCACCCGGGGCAAAAACCGGAGCCAAATCAATTATGTTACTTGACGAAGCTCATCATACATGATTATAAATTACTTAATGGTGAAATTAAATTGTGATTTAATGATATACCATACATAGTCTTTTATATTCATTCATAATTTTATTGCTTGTAAATATCTAATAAGATCAAATAATTAAATTTGTAATTTGCAATTTGCTGGCAACTCCTCCACTTCAATACCTTTGTTAATAGGACTACCTTAAGGCTGTGTCTTAGGTAAGCTCATCAACCACACCTTATCACCCG